CACAGCACAATCGGGCGCGATGATGCGACCATGACGCCGCGACCCGGCCGCCGCCGCGGCGCGCCCGCCGCCCGCCCGGCGCCGCCCGAGCCGCTTGCCGCCACGCGCGGCCGTGCACGCAGCGCCCATGCCCGCTCTGCGGCGCCTCGCAAGCCGGAGAGTCGCACAGATATGTTTTGTAAGACGGAGCCCGCTATGACGCAACGCTTGCTATTGCTGTGATATAACTACAAGTTATGTCATCGCCTCTTTTTGTCAGTGCGTTTCGGTTTGCTCCTTATGAAAACGGGCTTCATCACTATCTCTTTTCATGTTGTTGCCCCTTTTTGCAGTAATTCCTGTATAGCTAGGAGCAATCCTTGCCACTGTCTCTGCAGCGACCGAGAGGTCCGAGGGTTCCAGTCCCAACGGTGGCGAATTTTGCACCCTATCTAAATTGCGAGGGCGAATTGAGCTCCTGCCTGGAGGATAATTCTAGTGGCCGGCTGCTTTGATAAGTTCTTTTCGTGGTTTTTCATATCAACACCAGGTACATCGTTACATCATGCCCAAGCAGTACTCTAACAAATGGGCCAACAACCGCGCGCGATCTTTTCTTCCTCTCTTTCTGTCCTATCCTCACCCCTATCCTATTCTTACACACATTTACACTTTCACATACATGCGCTACATTACTACAAATTGTCGGGAGAACTGATGTGAGCTTAAAACGTGGCGGCTGAGGCGGGACCTCGCTGAGAAATTTCTGGAAAGGAAAATTCCTACGACTCGCGCCATATCTCACCGTTGGCTGGGGGAGGAAGACAAAAACATTCGCCACACTAGCGGGAATAATGACCTTAACAGTAGGCGTGCCCAGAATCAATCAATAGAAAAAGAGCCACCCATCCCTTCCAGATTTGTGCCGATGTTGTTTGCTGCTTTCCGTGTTCTTTGTTTCGTCTCTGGATCTTCAGGGCGAATGTATTCGGGTCCACTCTCCCTTCATTGTTTTCGCCGTTTGTCTCTCCTCTCACCTGTTTATCCGCCACTTATGTATATCTTTAGAGTCGCTTCTGTGTGTGAAGTTCCGAAATCTAGATGCTCGCATAATCCACTTCTCCGTCTGCCTAGTTTGACCCTCCCTGCCCCCGTACTGCGCACGTCTGCCTCCGCTCGCCCATGTGTTTCATGAACTATTCTGTCGTGTCTTTCTATTCCTAATCGCTTTTGACCAAAGATCGCCTCTGCTGTGCGTCCCTTCCCCCCGGTCTTTCCGAATCCCATAGAGCGGCTGCACTCTCTCTTCTCCGCTCCGTCTCCCCCACTCGCCCCTTGCTCGAGGCGTTTATTTCCGGTATCAGGCCGAGTTGTATCTCGGGTCGCGCCCCCGGGCCATCCACTGGCCAATGAAGCGATAATAGCGCGCGCCCCGCTGCGCTGTCATTTATCCGTCGGACGGGCTTCGGTCGTAATGGAATTTTTACGGTCTGCTCTTGAAGACGTGTAAACAATTAACCCTGAGCAGTTGATACGTGTGCCCCAGACTTATTGTCCTTTTACGGCATGACAAATGATGATGTGCTTACCGTCATTTTGTCAATTTATCAATAAATCCACGTAAATTATTCAAATTTCTATAACATGATCCAAGTACTTCAAAATATTTTTGGATGAGTTTATTATACGAAATGCATTACCTTTATGAATACTTACGTTTTATATTGAACAAGTCTCAATGAAATTTTCATTCGTCTTTTAATTCATTTTACTTTCTTTGGAAAGTTAATTCAGCAGATGTGTGTCAATGTTTTCTTAGCGTTTTGTTTCAGAAGATGGGAATTTCTGAGTTGCGCGTTAAATCTTTGTTTTGAATTTGTTTCGAATAATGACCCTTCGTTTGTATGCTCCTACTTCTGTCGAATTTTCGGATTGTGCTCATTAACCGTCTCTCGACAGTGGCAACTGCATAGGCGATCTGTTTGGTCAACCTGGCAACGGCGCGCGCCAGAAGGTTCCCGTCCATATGAAAGGTTGATTGTGAGATGGGTTTCGGTGTAACAACATGAGCGATGCCGGAGGAAAGCCGTGGCAGCACGTGTTGACACGTGGGCGCAATGTTTGGAGTTTGTTTTTGGCCGCCAGTACGTAACTCACCTCTGACGAACGACTTCCTGACTTGATCTGACGTGTACGGCGGCGTCGCGACCCGAGTTTGAGATAGCGGGTTGCGTTCAATCGCTCATACGCTCGCGCAGAGAAAGTGCTGCGACACGCGGAGTGGTGCAACCTCCCGTCAATGCGTTGCGTTGCCCAGAGTAGGAGAATACCGTTTATCTTTTCCGTTGATTTGTTTTGCTATTGTAGCCACAATTTCTAGCCAATGTACGTTGCTTAAACGTAATTTTTCATAAGTATATTACTCCTACGTTGAGCGTTTTGCATGTTTGACGTTTTTAAGGACGATGGGGGAGCTGGTCTAACACACAACCCTCCTCCCTTATCCGTAATTGGGATCGGCAAAGGCGGTTGCAGAGGTACTCGATCCTCCCACAGAAGGATAGTTGAGCAGGCCTTCACGGTTCAAGGAGTTCATTTGAAGGTCGTTAGTGCCTTAGAAGAAGATATGGCTCCTATAGTGTTCTATTTAAATTGCTACCACTGTTGTTACTATTATTATTATTATTATTATTATTATTATTATTATTATTCGCTCTCCAATATTTCGTCGTGAAGGATGGGATAAACATTTTATATTTATGTGTAATCACATTTTAATATTAATACATGGGGCTCTCACCAAATCAGTTTTTGCTGCTTCCTTAACTTATCTGAAAAAATAGTTTAAATATGCTCTTAAAATATAAAGAATAAAAACAATAGTTTGTCGATAATTGTAAATAATTATCAGTGCTTATTCTTACTTTGTTTCAGGTAAGCTGAGAGGGAGATAGCATATTCTTGCGTCATTCCACGAGACTATGTACGTATCAATAAATTTTACATTCATTTTTGCAATGTTTCTTTTTTATTGCGATCATTCAAAATTAATTTAATGGAAAGACGTGACAGACTTTTAAGAGCAAAGCGTAGTTTCTCTATTGTACGGATCGATTTTGATATTGGTGTCCCTCTTCTGAGATAAAATGTTACACTGATATGTAACACACGTAAAAAACTTCCAATTTGGTTATGAGAGGATCAACTCTAAAAGAAAACAGGATATTCGAATTCGCTTCTATTCGTTAGCTAGTTACAGCTTTGCTTGGATGTTGCCCTATGTTCTTGTTTAGAATAATTTTAAAATTATTTCCACGTTTTTGTGCAAAAAAAGGCATTGTTTCGAAAATCGTGAATTATGTCACTTCATTACTGACAAGTGGATTGCGAGATAAAGAAAGTGCTCTTGAAGAAAAAACACTTATCTACAGTAGGTGCGTCGAAAAGTTGCCACCATTCAAGATTTTGACCTTGTAAAGATAAGAACTGATTCCTGATGACATGTTGATTTATATTACTGTGACTTGTTTACTTGTGATATTGTGTCATTCTTGTCGGACGATTCCTCAAAAATTATCTTCCTTTAAGATTTCTTTGGCACTTTCATTACACTTCCGTATGTTTTTCAGCCTTCTGGGGTTATGAATAGAGAAATACTGAAAATATTTAATTTTTACACGCCAGTTTGCATTTCAATATTTTAATGCTTCTTATGGTAAGAACATTTTTATCTTCCTAGGAAGGCACCCATTTGCAATAACTGCCGTTATATCTAACATTGATGCAATAACTAATATATCTAGGCGTCATATCTAGATTACTACTGTTACATTCGTTCTTAATGACAACTTTGTTTCTCCGCAGTTTTTCGAACACAAAGTTGCGAAAAAATACACGTAAGAACTAAAAACATAGTAGTGACTGGAAACAGCTAGAAAATATTTTTTTGTAGATTTCAATATATTTTAGGAAAGAAATTTAAATGCGTTTGTACGAACATAGTTTTTCCTTTATTCGGTGACACTCAATATCTTCCAAATTTCTTTCCCGTGCGAATTATTAGTGATACTTTATACATTTTAGTATATCTATTCATTTGATATCGTTATATATCGTATATACTTATATATCGTTGATAATTTTGAATTATTGGGGTGGGAAAAGCTTTTTCTTATCCCTGCACAGGCGAGTTAGAGCAGTTCGAAGCAGTGGCAACCACTTGTCGATTGGTGCGGTGATTTTCCGCGCGCCCGCCACGTGTGGCGACCTCGCCACGTGCGGCACGTGGCGGCTTCATTGCTGACTCCACAGCCGCCCCGCCCACCTCGCTGCGGTGCTGGCAGTGCTTGAGAAACGAGAGGCCCTGCTTCAGCCCTCCAAAGAAAAGACTTTGGAGAAGAGGGATACAGGAGACATGTTGCAGGCTGAAGCAAGCGTTCGTTGACCAAAGGTAGAGCTCTTGGTCAGGGTATGGGCGTGACAGAGTGCAGTGACCAGAATTACGTAACTCATGCGTAGGAGGATCTGTTGTGATAATGGGTCCTTGAGGGGCTTTTTTACGGGGAAGGTGGGTGGGGTTGAGTCTGCCCGTGGCGGTGCCCGCGGTGCCGCTCCGCCCCGCGGCCCGCCTGTGCCCTACGTGGGCCGGGGCACCGGTCGGTGCGCGCGCGGGAGGGCGGGAGACGCTGACGTCAGCGTTACGCAACGGTGGCGCCACGCAGCCCTGCCCTGCCCTGCCCTGCCGTGCTGCCCTGTCCGCCCACCAGCGCCTCCGCTCGCATCGCTGCTCGTGGTCGCATCAGTTTCCGCGGCGGTCGCCTCCCCGCGACCCGCGCCTCCCTCCACGTAGGCCTCCGCCCGTTAAGTTCACCGCTGCTCCTTCCGCTTGCTCTGCCGCGAACGCTGCCCCGAACGCAGCGTTTGGTACAGTGCACACTTAATTGTGAATTCTCGTACAATTCTGGATTTTGGGCAAGGTCTCTGGGGGTTAACGGAAATTATTAAAGATTTTGTCGTGTAAGACATTTTTACAACTAATAGTGATTTAAATAATTTTACTATTCTACTTTTACTAAATTACATACATTACTTTTTATAATGATTAAGAATGGCTTGAAAAGTTTGAAGCAAGGATGGGAACGTTCAGGTGTGCTTCGCAATTTTATTTGTAGGCACGGTACCCCCCATTAATGCTATATTTCACGAATTTGTCATGACATGTCATCTAATGCTGTATAAACTATGAGGTTAGTGTGTGCAGTTACATAAATTTTCCACTTATACAATTGGTGCCGAGTATACAAACGGTACATAAACTTTGCACTGCAGTACGATGTGTGTCATGCTGTCAACGCTGCTTCAGTCGCGAAGCCAGGTGTATCTTTCAGAAATTTGCTTGGCATCTCCGCTGAGCCCTTTCTGTACCGCTGTCCTGCGCTGTAATATTTTCCCCCTGACTTTTCTCATATCCTTCCTCCGTGCCTCGTGACATCGGAGCTTTCCCTCATTTATTCATACACAGCGACACTCTGGGGCGTCGGTGCGTTTTTACGGGTAATTAGGCCAGTGCTCTAACAGCGTTTTGTTGTTCATGTGCTGTTTTTTAAATTAAACAGTTATTAGTATTGCAGGCGGAAATGAAAACATATTTTGGGGGTTTGTCGTTGCTAGTTTTATTGTACACTCTTGGAAACATAAAATTTCGCGTCAAAAATGCCTTGGACCGAGAGGTTGATGGCGCTGGACATCCTTGCTTGCCGACAGCGCTATCTAACGTTTATTTTCGAAACTACGTTCCGTAGATCGAAATATAATTAAATTTATTTTATTGGAGAGCGTATTAACTACTTTAATGACGCGTTGAAGCTAAATAGTAACAGTCAGAGAAAAAGACTTTCGTGATTCTGCCAGTAAAACAGGACTGACATTACTTTGGTAAACTTGATTTGCTTTAAAGTTTCTTAAATATAAAATGTGTTGTTATAAGAGGTGTGTTATAAGAGGTGTATTAGAAGGGCGAAAGAATGGCTCAGTGGCGAAGTGGTATTTTAGAACTCGTGAAGTAGCGGGTTCGGTTCCCAGTCTATGTAGATATTTTATTCATTCTACAGTGCCATAAAATCACTAAATTAGAACATACTATATATGTCGTGTCAATGTTATGCACAATTTAAGCAAAATTCCCAATTGAGAATAAGGAAAGCAAACAGCATTCTCAAAAAGCGGTAATACTCGTAGCGACCAAAATAAAATAAGCTCTATAATCATTCTTATAGATAATAATCTTAAATTGCGAATAAAAGGAACGTTAAAATATTGCGTATAATTTTTCATTTTACTCGAATAAAACCATGAAATGGAACTCTTAAGAGCTCGGAAAGACAATTCGTTTAACAATACCAAAAATTATAGTGATTATACTGACAAGAAAATTTGACTTGTGTTTGTATCTGTAAATAATTCATTAATTCCGTTTTGACATCTCTTGTTTGCTTTGACATGACTTTTATTTCTACATATTTATAATAAATTTAAAAAATACAGTGCATAGACTCCCTTATGCTATTGATATATAATGTGAATAAAGATGATGGAACTGTTGATGTTCTTGTAATTACAATAATTCTTAGCGTGAAAAGGCTTTGAAATGCAATGTCTACACTGAAGTAAATAAAATGGTTTTTGATGAATAAATGTGGCTCATTGATTTCTGATGATGAATATTTCTGAAATCCCTTGCCTTGTGTGAAGGCTTAGTTATGTGGGTATTGAGATTTCGTAGCTGTGAAGTAAAGAAATTCAAAATACAATTTGCCGAAAACGATTTTGAAGGGAAAATATTCCTAGACTGTCATGCAATTGAAGTTCATTACAATATCATACAAAATCTTGTTTCAGATGTAAGTAGAAATCAATTTGTGTATTGAACGTTTTTTATGCACAAAAAATATAATACAGATAGTAATAATAAATAATGGCTGAAAATAGCGGATTTTTTTCATTTCAAAACAATTTCTACCAAAAATTAACGCAAAATATGACTGCTTCTAGTTGAACATCAGACTGCCAATTAGCATATTAGCGATGTTATTTTGCTTGCTAAAATATTCTCGTTCATAAGACAGTGGAATAAACTCATTTCTTTTGTTGAGAGAGATTATCGATTTTCTCTCGTAAGCCTCACGGTACTACGACTTGAATCTGACCCTTCGCAGCACTTCCGTGTTTTCGACTGCAGGTCAGAAGGAGATAAGGGGCTCTGCAGCGTTGCGATTTGGTGAGAAAGAAAAAATCGCGGCTAAGCAATTGAACTACTCGCATTCATTATTCGACATGGCTCACCATAGCAAGCACACGAGAGCGAGTTATCGGCATTAGTAGAAGATGGTCACCTCTGTTTCAGAGGCGCGAGTCGGTATGGCGTTGGGGCAAGAAACAGCAGCAATACTGGCTTAAACGTTTTCGAGAGACGGGAGAATCCGGGATGAAACCAGGAACGGGGCTTTGGCGTATTTCAGATGCTGCTCAAGATGAAGTTTTGATACAAGCAGCGGGTGAAAACCCTTTTCAAACTTCTTCACAACTGCAAAGAACCACCAGATTTTCCTGGATGTTCCAGAACAATACGCAACAGACTTTCGGAGGCGGTCTGCGATCCAGAAGTGCAGCTCGAAAACGAAGCTGACAGAAGAACACCAGCGCTACCAGCTGGAATTTGCGGAGGAAAATTACATCGAGACTGGGCTGATGTCATTTCTCTATGAGAGTATATTCTCCTCCGGAAATGATTGGACCGTTCGCGTTTTCAGACCCAAGGAAGCCGCTATGATTCTCGCTACGTAAAACAAGTCCCCAGACAGGTCATTTCTCAGTAGCAGTTTGGGGCTGGATGTCATCCCGTGGGATTGGAATGATCCTACAATCCAAGACCACTTAAATGCTCCTCAGTACATCCACATACTGAGAGATTATATGATTCCATCAGTAAGGCCCAATTCATCCTCGGGGATAATTCAATTCTAACAGGCCAATCTCCGATTCATAAGTCGGCTTTGGTTCAATCGTTTTTGCGGAGAAACAGGATATTCAGGTTGTTGACTGGCCACCATGTGCACCAGACTGAACCCTATTGAAAATGTTTGGGCAGAGAACAAGACGCACCATGGCCGAAAACTGGCCTGATCCGGACCTCACAATGCCGATGCGCTCTGGTAAATAATCCATGAATCCTGGGAGGAGATCGCTCACAGTGAAAACGTCACGCGAACAGCCCAGATCACCCACATGACTCTGGTCGCGGAAGCCTACGACTTCGTATAAACATTCATAGCATAGATATTAATGATAATTAAACTGGATGTTCATTTCGCTTGGTAAAACATAATTTCAGTTCTGTATTCATCCGCCTACTTCAGTGCGTCTTCGTTTCTGTCTTTACTTTTATATCTCTTTCCTGCTGCCATTTTCTGTTCCTTTCTCCATGCCCGTCATTCTGTTCCTCGTCTTAACTCCACGTCCTCCAATTTATAATTTATTAGCGGCATTTCACTGACGTTTTAACTATTTACGGCTCTTTTAAAGTACACCATAACATTTTCCTTGTCCCAAAGCCATTTGCCCGGGCGCCATTCTGCCTAGCGTGGACAGCCCGGAAAGGCGCAACCGTTGGGGCGCTTGGCGGGGCATGGGGCAGGGCGCGGGGCAGGGCGCGGGGCAGGACCCGGGGCAGGACCCGGGGCAGGGCGTGGCGGGGCGCGGCGGGACGCGGCGGGGCGCGCCCTCCGCGTATCGGCGCGTGACAGCTCGCGCGCCGCCGACTTTTGCGACGCGTCGATAACGCTGCGTTTCCGCGTCGTCGGGTTAAGAGCGTCGTAACGCGCCGGCGATCGCTCGCTGCTCAATAAAGACGTAAAGTCGACCGACGAGTGCTGTTCATCGCAGGTCGTTGCGTCCGGCGGTGCGCGTAGTAACCAAGTTCCCGAGTGCAACCGTAATGCGCTTTACTGTGCGGCACGTACTCGTGCGATTTACAGCGCTCGAGCGATGTGGCTGGAAGATTACTGCGCGAAGTGCCAGCGGCGATCCGCTGAATGACAGCGCAATCGGAGGTTGTCGTCTCGCCGTGGGTGCAGACGAGCGAGCGATTATTAGGAAGCCGTCTGTGGAGCAATTACATTGTTTTGGCGCAACTGTCAATGCTGGACGCATTTTCTTATCTCAATTACGAAGGCAATAATGATTTTTTTCTTGGTAGAAAATGAGTAGTATATAAAATATATAAAGAATTATAACTCTTTGAGAAACCAATAGAGTAGGGACGAAATGAAACAGTCGCAAAGTATCTGAAAAAAGTAAATAAATTGAGCGTTTGACATTTAAATATTGTACATCGCTAAATCGTAACACGGAAATCGAAATTGGCAAGTGAAAGTTACTAAAATGCCGCGTTTCGTGTGAAGGAAACGCCAAATGCGTGATCTGCTTTGTGCTGGGCGCGCGACCCAGGAGAGAGCCGCAGTCGTCGCCGCGCGTCGGCGGTCGCTGCCGCGAAGCCAGAAAGAGCGCGCTCGCCCACCGCCCTCGCCTCCGCAGCGTTCCCGCTCCTTTCCGAGAAGGCGGAGGCAGCACCCGCCCGCAGCGCCTCGCGGCCTCTGGACCCGCTCAGGGCCCCCCAGCCTCGTTCCTACGGATTTAAATAAATTCCGCTGAACACCAAACTATTTTCTGTGTGGAGTATAGTGTGTGCGATGCCACTGACTGGATACAGAGACTAGCATAACCTGTGCGGCCACTGCCATTTAATACCCCCTCACTCGATAGTCCCCGCCTGCAGCGTACAGGGGTTGGGAAGAAATGATAACAATTGAAAGCATTACATAAGACTGTTCTCGAGTGCGAAAGAACTAGCTACGACATTTATCGGAGGAGGGAGAAATGTTTACTGTTACTTTTGTTTCGACACTTTAGCGAGTTCTACTCTCAGTCCGGTTTCAACATTATTTATATCTACCTGACTACTGTCGTTGCATAAAATGGGTCTGACGGTAGTTCCCTGTCCATAAAAACGAGGTGAGAACCATTAAATCGTAATTATAAACT